ATTGTTAGGTGTCAAATCATGTAGTGGTTAGGTGGCAAATCATGTAATGGGTAGGTGTCAAATCATGTAATGGGTAGGTGTCAAATCAAGTAATGGGTAGGTGTCAAATCATGTGATGGGTAGGTGTCAAATCATGTGATTGTTAGGTGTCAAATCATGTAATGGTTAGGTGTCAAATCAAGTAATGTTTGGGTGTCAAATCTTGTAATGTTTGGGTGTCAAATCATGTAATGGTTAGGTGTCAAAGCTTGTGATGGTTGGGTGTCAAATCATGTAATGGTTAGGTGTCAAATCATGTGATGGTTAGGTGTCAAATCATGTGATGGTTAGGTGTCAAATCATGTGATGGTTAGGTGTCAAATCATGTGATGGTTAGGTGTCAAATCATGTAATGGTTAGGCGTCAAATCAAGTAATGGTTAGGTGTCAAATTATTTGATGGTTAGGTGTCAAATCATTTGATGGTTAGATGTCAAATCATGTAATCGTTGGGTGTCAAATCATGTGATGGTTAGGTGGCAAATCTTGTAATGGTTAGGTGGCAAATCTTGTAATGGTTAGGTGGCAAATCTTGTAATGGTTAGGTGGCAAATCATGTGATGGTTGGGTGTCAAATCATGTAATGGTTAGGTGTCAAATCATGTAATTGTTAGGTGTCAAATCATGTAGTGGTTAGGTGGCAAATCAAGTAATGGGTAGGTGTCAAATTAAGTAATGGGTAGGTGTCAAATCATGTGATGGTTAGGTGTCAAATCATGTGATGGTTAGGTGTCAAATCATGTGATGGTTAGGTGTCAAATCTTGTGATGGTTGGGTGTCAAATCATGTAATGGTTAGGTGTCAAATCATGTGATGGTTAGGTGTCAAATCATGTGATGGTTACAGTACAGTTCTCGCCGAAGCTTTGGCTTTTGTGGTATCATTGTCGCATACGCATGGCTTCATTGTCACCTCAGCATCGCATCATTGTGGCATCAGCTTCGCGTCATTGAAAATTGAAGCTGTGTTCGCCTCTCTTA